GGAACCCCAGGTTTCGGCGGTGACCAGGGGAGCCTTCGCACAGTTAAAACTTGTGCGCCAACTGCGACCGTACCTTGGGAAGTCTGACTTAGCCACGGTAGTCCACGCTCTGGTTACATCCCGCCTTGATTACTGCAACGCTCTCTACGTGGGGTTGCCTTTGAAGACAGTCCGGAAGCTCCAGTTAGTCCAACGGGCGGCAGCCATGATTCTAACAGGAGCGGGGTGCAGGGAGCATACAACTCCCTTGCTGAACCAGCTCCACTGGCTGCCGATATGCTACCGGGCTCAATTCAAAGTGCTGGCATTGGCCTTTAAAGCCCTAAACGGTTCTGGCCCAACTTATCTATCCGAACGTATCTCAGCCTATCAGCCCACCAGGACCCTAAGATCTTCCGGAGAGTCCCTTCTCTCTATCCCTCCAGCTTCAGAAGTGCGGCTGGCGGGAACGAGAGATAGGGCCTTCTCTGTGGTGGCCCCCCGGCTTTGGAACACCCTCCCTATAGAGGTACGATCAGCCTCTTCGCTGATGGTGTTTAGGAAGAGACTCAAAACATGGCTGTTCAAACAAGCATTCGGCTAATCTGTGACAATTCGAATATTGATGACTAAGGACAGGAAACATGGACAACGAATTCTGGATTGCGATTTCAACTCGAGATATATGGGATTATTATTGGTGGCCCAATAATTTGTTATTGAATTTTTTATTATATGTGTATATGTTTTTAAATTGTAGATTGTTTTAACTGCTGTAAACCGCAATGAGTCGCCGTTCTAGGCTGAGATATTAGCGGTATACAAGTGTATCAAATAAATAAAATAAATAAATAAATAAGATTAAAGGAATTATTAAGTAACAGAATGGAAGAGGATCAAGCAGGTTTCCTTCCCAAACGCCAACTAAAAGATAACATAAGAACAGTTCTAAATGTCATTGATTATTGTGAAAAAAACAACCAGAAAGAAATAGCCCTAATGTTCCTAGATGCCGAAAAGGTATTCAATAATGTAAACTGGAACTATATCATTGCCATACTAAGAGAAATGTACATAGGATACTATTATCTGAATGCGATTGAATCAATATATACGGATCAAGTAGCGAAAATCACAATAAATGGACAACATTCGACAAATATTCCCATCTTAAAAGGAACAAGACAGGGCTGTCCACTCTCACCGCTGCTTTTTATTTGACCCTCGAGACCTTATTAACAAGCATAAGGAAAAACACAGAACTAATAGGCCTGAGAACCAAAAGCCAAACATTCAAAATTCATGCATTTGCAGATGATATAGTGTGTTTTATAGAAGATCCTCTGACTGGTATGAATAAATGGCTACAAGAAATAGAAAAATATGGAGAGGTGGCTGGATTCAAAATAAATAGAGATAAAACACAAATTATTACAAATAATATATGTAAAGAAAAAAAAAGAGAAACTTCAGGAAAGAACAGGAATTAAAGTAGCCACGAAGGTAAAATATCTAGGAGTAATAATTGCATCCAGTAGTATGGACCTGATAAAGAACAACTATGAAAAAAAATGGTAAGAAATAAAAAAACAAACAAAAGAAGTGGGAACATCTGAACCTCTCCCTGCTAGGTAGAATAGCAGTAACCAAAATGAATATTTTACCGGACATCTTATTTACCTTTCAGACACTTCAGATATTAAGATCTAGTACAATGTTACAGAATTGGCAAAAAGAGATAATTAAATTCAGATGGAAAGGCAAAAAACACAGGATAGGCTCTAAAAATCTAATCGACAATAAAAAAAAAGAGGAGGTCTTGCCCTGCCAGAATTTCAATTGTATTATGATGCAGCCGCTTTGAGTTGGCTAAGAGACTAGCAACACCAAAAAAAGAGAAAATCCTAGCTTTGGAAGGTTTCGATATCGCTCAGGGTTGGCACGCTTATCTTTGGAGAGGAAGGGCAAAAAAGGGGGAAAAATTAGAAATCACCCCATACGAGCTGTACTTATCTAGACTTGGAACAAATACAAAGATAAACTATCTTAAAAAAAACACCAATGTGGTTCTCCCCTAATGAAGCCTATCACAAGAGAGAACTGCCCAGAGAGAAATGGTTGACGTATAACTAATTGATAAAGAATAAAAGACAAGAAGCATCACTTAAATCACACGAAGAACTGTCATCAATAGACCTATTTCATGGTTCCAATATCACCAACTCAAAGAAAACTTTAATATAGATAATAAAATAGGCTTTGAAATGAAAAAAATACTTTTTGGGACAAAATATTAAACACAGATACAAAATTAATAAGAAAAATATATAATCAATTATTAATATGGACCACTGAAACTGAACAAATAAAAGATAAGATGATAAACTGGTCGAGAGACATAGGCCGCTCCATACCCCTAGCAGATTGGGAAGAGATCTGGCAAAAGAAAATCAAATACACCTATGCAATAGATCTCAAGGAGAGCTGGTACAAGATCTTTTATAGGTGGTACTTAACACCAGAAATACTTGCAAAAATCAGCAAAGGTAAAACAAAAGACATATGCTGGAAATGTGAAAAAGACAAAGGCAACTTTATCCACATGTGGTGGAATTGCAGGAAAGTAAAAAAGTATTGGCTGCAAATACGCAAAAAGATAGAACAATTCTTAAACATAAAATTCAATCCAAAACCAGAAACACTTCTATTGGGGATAACAGACTTCAAAATAGAAAAGAACAAGGATAAGATATTTTTCTATCTAATATCAGCTGCAAGGATGATTCTAGCAAAAGTATGGAAAACTAAAGAAATTCCCACAATGGAGCAGTGGATGGCGAAAGTAATGGACATAATAAATATGGACATACTGACACAAAGAATCTCACACAACTACACAAAACCCCAAAGAACGGACTGGAAAATATTTCTGGATTTTGTCAGAGAAGAAAACAAAGAAATATATATTAGGGACCTGTAATTGAAATCCAAGGAATGTGTTATTGTGAGGACGACAATTGAAACAAGCAAGGACAAGAAATATGTATGTGCATGTATATATATATTTATACAGATAGATATACATATGTATGTGTGTGTGTATACATATGCTTGCATACATAAATAAACAACCGAGACATCCTGGGTGATCCTGGAAGTAATCTACCAACCCCACCCCTATCCCAGTAAATTCTCCCCCCCCCCTTTTCACTTTACCCCTCCCCACTTTCCCACTTTACCCTACAAACCTATTGTATCCACCTCTTTTATGTAAATATGAAGAAAACAATAAACATATTTGAAAAAAAGAAATTGTGGAAGTTGAAGCCCCAAACACCTGGAGGGCCAACGTTTGTTGCGGTTTGTTGAGTGCATGCAGGTCCAGAAGATTAGTCCCTTGTATATTCAAGGATGAGCAACTCAAAACACAAGAATGCAAAACTTAAATTTACTCTTGTGCAAGTAGAGGGGTCACGGTGGCAAAGCAGGTAAAACTACTAAGCTGCTGAACTTGTTCGAATCTGTGGACAGGGTGAGCCCCCACTGCTAGACCCAGCTTCTGCCAACCTTGCAGTTCGAAAACATGCAAATGTGAGTAGATCAATAGGTACCTCTCGGCGGGAAGATAATGGTGTTCTATGCAGTCATGCTGACCACATGACCTAGAGGACGCCTATGGACAACAATGGCTGATTAAACCATTATTCTAACCTTCTTCAATGTAAATGTGCTTATGTATCCTTCCAATAATAATAAAGAGAGCATAATAATAAATGTGATAAAAAGAGTATTTTTTGTGTCAGGAGCAACTTGAGAAACTGCAAAATAATGGAAATGTAATAACAGTAATAAAAGAGTAAAACAATAAATGTAATAATAACAATAATGGAGTAAAATAATAAAAGTAATAATAATAAATAGAGTAAAATAATAAATTTAATAATGCAAATAATAAATACAGTACAAAAATGTAAATGTAATAACAATAAATAGAGTAAAATAATAAATGTAATAACAACAACAACAACAGAGGAAAATAATAAATAACTTTGACGCGAGTATAAACTGAGGGGGGCTTTTTCAGCTTAAAAAATGGCTGAAAAACTCAGCTTATACTCAAGTATATACAGTACTCAGCGTGTGGCCTGCCATTAATCAGGGGGAGTCTTTTCCTCTTAACACACACACACAGTAGTGATCCCACAGGAACTTAACCATGAACCTTAATAAAATTTGTCCATGCCCGGTCTAGACTGAAATGCCCATCTTTAGATATTTTCAAAAAAGGTAAAGAACAGCTTATTTAGAGTTTAGCTGCGTCTTCTTTCTGATAAGAACTGGATTTCCCTGCCTGGGGCAGCCGATAAAGCAAGCAGTACTTATTATTCCTGTCAACTGCATGAGTGTTATCGCAAGTCCTTCTATCAGATCCATTTCTAGGGGAAGAATTAGATCTGGATCAGGCTGCAATCCAGCTCTGTTTCATGCCTTATGCAGCAACCAAGTTATCCTTATATTCCAGGTATGCTTGCTGAAATAAAAATGAACAAGCGAGACGCATCTCAAATAGTCATGAGATAGAAGACAGGAAGCCATGATCCAATACATCTTTTAAAAAAACATTCAGTGGCACACACAATCCTTTCACTATTTATTTGCACCAAGAAATGGGTGCATGTTAGACTAACAGTTTCAGCTCTGAAGGAGCGACTTGAGAAACTGCAAGTCGCTTCTGGTGTGAGAGAACTGGCCGTCTGCAAGGACATTGCCCAGGGGACGCCTGTATGTTTTACCATCCTGTGGCGACTTCACTCATGTCCCCGCATGACTCAAACTCTATGAATTCCTTGTATGCAAAAGGAAAGATAATGTCAGCACGAGGATAGAGAAGTGTTATTTTACTGTAAAGCACCTGTACAGTCGTGGTGCTAATTAATTATGTGATAATGATAATAACAGGGAAGTCTCAGGAGTCAAATGGAAAAAAATATTTACTAGGGTTTTTTTTTTTTAAGTCTTACCCTCATGGTTATCTTTACACCCTTCAAGTGCCGCATTTTCAGAAACTTCTGAGTTCCTGAAAGAGAAAAGAGAAGCAACGTGTGTTCTGCAAATGGAGGCCCCATCCACACAGACACTAAAACCCAGCTTGAGGTCGAGGTGTCCTGAAAAGATTTCACCAATGCAAATTCCAAAGCAAATCTAACCAGAAAAAAAACCCTTCACCAGGAATGCCGATTCAAGCTCAACAATTCGCATCACAGGAAATAAGCTGAATGCCGAATTCAGAGAGAAATGTAAAGAGGGCTAAAGCTGAGCATATGGGGTTTAAAAAGACAACGTTAGATCTTCCTGCCTTGCCTTGCCATGAGGCAAGTGCTGGGAAAGCTGCTTATCTCTGCAAGGAGGGGAAAACATACCCATGATTTCATTACACCAATTCATCTCAATCAGAATGTAGATTATTCTGACAGGTCTGTGTGGACTCTTCCAGCCGGTTCATGAGGCGTTTGCATAAACACTTGGGAGCAAACCAGATATCTGTATTCTGCTCCATTTTTATTGGCTATGTGGAAGCAGCCAGATACATATCTACTTAGGCCCCTTCTGAACTGCCACACAAAATCCTGGTTATCTGCTCTGCACTGGATTTATATGGAAGTATAGACTCACATAATCCAGTTCAAGGAAGATAATGTGGATTATCTGCTTTGATAATCTGGGTTATATATGGCAGTGTAGAACGGGCCTGACATACTTTTTAAAGAAGCCATGCTGGCTGGTGGATTCTAGAGCTATCATGCCAAAAAGTTAATTTTTCTACACTTTGTATGGAAGTAATCACAGGAATGTCATGACGACCTTGGTTATAATGAAATTACCCATATCCCTGTATCCCAGTCCCAATTAGGCACCAGAGACAGGAGATCTGTATTTGTGAGTTTATCGATTAGATAAACTTCATGGTGTGCTTTCACAAAAATTTGGAGCGCCAGGCCAGACCTCGATCCAGCTTCTATTTTTATAGACATTAATAGCTTTCCTTACCCCCCAAAAAACTTTTTCCTTCTATGCACAGGTACCAAAACCATTAAACCATCACATCATTATTTCATTGTTGTTGTCATGCATATTCAGGCGCATTGTGTCTAGTTAATTAGTCTCCTAGTTATCATGTCATCTGAGGGCCTTTCCACACAGCCCTATATCCCTGAATATCAAGGCAGAAAATCCCACATTATCTGAGAGTGGACTTGGATAACCCAGTTCAAAGCAGATATTGTGGGATTTTCTGCCTTGATATTCTGGGATATAGGACTGTGTGGAAGGGCCCTAAATAATATTGACAGCCTTGTTGTGTTCACCAGTGTTCTGCTCCCTATTACTTCACCCTTGTGCTTAGCTTTGTAGTCTTAGCAAAACAACTCATTAATCCATTCATTTGGAGTTTCATTGCTGGGTCAAGCTGTCCCTCTAGAAATTAACTTTTCAGTGATTAATATCAACTTGTATTATTGTTTAAGCTATTAGGCATTTAGTGTAGGGATAGGGCAAAGGCAGAACTACTTAATTCTGTCTTTGCCTCAGTCTTCTCATAAAAAAGTCATACTTAATCGCAGCAACAAGGAATGGATGAAGGATTAGGGGAAATCCAACCTCAAATAGGAAAACGAGTTGTCCAGGACAACTCGTCCTGGTCGCTCTAAACGAATTGAAGTCCCCAGGGCCAGATCGAAGAGTATTGAAGGAACTAGCGGAAGTCATTTCAGAACCATTTGCAATCATCTTTGAGAATTTTTGGAGAACGGGACAAGTCTCTGCAGATGGGAGGATGGCAAATGTGGTCCCTATCTATCTTCAAGAAGGGAAAAAAGGACGACCCAAACAATTACCAATGTCCAGTCAGCCTCACGTTGATACCAGGCAAGATTCTGGAAAAGTTCATTAAGGAAGTGGTCTGCAAACACTTAGAAAGGAATGCGGTCATCGCTAATAGTCAACATAGATTTCTCAAAAACAAGTCATGCCGGATTCATCTGATCCCTGTTTTTGATAAGAGTCACAAGCTGGGTAGATGCAGTGAACGCCGTGGTTGTAGCGTATCTGGATTTCAGGAAGGCCTTCCTTTGACAAGGTCCCACATGACCATCTGGCAAGGAAACTGGCCCAATGTGAGCTAGACAAAACTATGGTTAGGTGGATCTGTAATTGGTGAAGTGAATGAACCCAAAGGATGATTTTCCCCAATGCTTCCTCTTCATCCTGGAAAGAAGTGATGAGTGGAGTGCCAGAAGCAGGGCTCCGTCCTGGGCCCAGTCCTGTTCAGGATCTTCATTCATGACTTAGATGAAGGGTTCGAAGGCATTATCATCAAGTTTGCAGAAGGGATCAAATTGGGAAGAAGAGCCAATACTCCAGAATATAGGAGTGGAATTCAAAACCATTTTAACAGATGATGGGCCAAAACTAACAAAATGAAGTTCAGAAGGGACAAATGCAAGATATTCCACTTAGGCAGAAAAAAAATGAAATGCAGATACAGAATGGGGGGTGCCTGACTCAATAGCAGCATGTTTGAGAAAGATCTTAGCAACTTCGTGGCCAACTACGTGATGCGGCAGCTTAAAAAGCCAATGGGATTTTGTCCTGCATAAATAGGAGTCTAGTACCTAGATCCAGTGAAGTCATGCTACCCCTCTATTCTGCCTTGGTCAGACCACAACTAGAATCACACTGTGTCCAATTCTTGGCACCGCAATTGAAGGGAGATGCTGACTCTAAGTTGGAATGTGTCCAGAGGAGGGCGACTCAAGGGATCAAGGGTTTGGAGAACAAGTCCTATGAGGAGCATCTTAAAGAGCTTTGCATGTTTAGCCTGCAGAAGAGAAGGCTGAGTGGAGACATGATGAGGGCCATGGATAAAGATGTGAGGCCGAGAAAGTCATAGGGAGGAGGGAGGGGGAGAGCTTGTTTTCTGCTGCCCTGGAGACTAGGACACAGAACAATGGCTTCAAACTACAGGAAAGGAGATTCCACCTGAACATGAGGAAGAACTTCCTAATGTTGAGAGCTGTTCAACAGTGGAACTCTCTGCCCCAGAGTGTGGTGGAGGCTCCTTCTTTGGAGGCTTTTAAACAGAGGCTGGATGGCCATTGGTCGAGGGGGCTTTGAATGCAATTTCCCTGCTTCTTGGCAGAATGGGGTTGGACTGGATGACCCACGAGACCTCTTCCAACTCTAGGATTCTATGATCTATATAAATAAAAATGTAATGTTCGTTTGTGGGATTAACAGAACTCAAAAACCACTGGACGAATTGACACCAAATTTGGACACAAGACACCTAACAACCCAATGTATGTCCTTCACTCAAAAAATTGATTTTTTCATTTGGGAGTTGTAGTTGCTGGGATTTATAGTTCACCTACAATCACAGAGCACTCTGAACCCCACCAACAATATAATTGGGCCAAACCTCCCACACACAGAATCCCCATGTGGGCCACAGCAACGCGTGGCAGGGGACGGCTAGTTATCAATATACACACAGCGCTGTATGCAAATCAAAGCAGTGGTTAATACAAACTTGTAATATTGTTGAATACACTGAACGAATGAACAACAACACTTGTAGAGCAGTTGTCATTAGCAAATATCACAGAAGTATTAGCCAACTTTGGTAAGCAAATGTCATCAATTTCAATATTCCAACCTATGTCTCTTCAATGTCAAAATTTTTATTTCCGCAGATATTCTGGAGAAGAGGGGAAGCCTTGGGTTCATATGACTCATTGGCCCCATCTGTTCTGAAGGGATGAAAGAGGCAAGGAAAGGAGGGAGACCCACCCACAGCCTTTGCCTTCACCAAACACACAACTTTTCTTACCAGTCTTGAAGAAGATCCTGGCACTGCTTGATCTTCTGCTGCAGCTTCTTCTTTTGCTCAGTGCAGCCATCCAAGGCCTGGGTGAGCAGGGAAACCAGCCTGGAAAGGGCATTGCAAAAGCATTCCCATCACAACAGAATTTTGCCTCCTCCATTTCTTTCATGTTACTTTTAGCAAAGTATTTTCATCTAATGTACTTTGTTTTGCTCCAGAATTTAAAGAGAAATAAATAGGGCTTGGGGGGGGGGGGGTAGGGACAGGGACAGGGAAATAAACAGGTATCAGGGGGCAGGCATAGGGAAATAAACAGGGCTCAGGGGTGGGGGCTATGCATAGGGTGCGGCAATAGGGAAACAGGGTTTGGGGCAGGGCCTATGTGCAGAAGATGGTGATAGAGAAATAGGGCTCAGGGGCGGGGATAGGGAAATAGGGCTCAGGGGCGGGGCTGAAGGGGAAAAGGAAGGGGTTTGAGGGTGTTAGGAATTGTGGGAGTTGAAGTTCAAAACACTTGGAGGGCCCAAGTTGGCCCTTACCTGATCTAGACTGACATATAATCCTGAATTATCAAAGCAGATCATCCACATGATCTGCTTTGAACGGTGTTATATGAGGTCTACACTGCCATATAATCCAGTTCAAAGCAGATAATCTGAATTTTATATGGTAGTGTAGACCAGCCTCATATAATCCCAATTCAAAACAGATAACCTGGGATCAGATCCTGGGACATAGGGCAGTGTGGAAGGCCCCCTGAGCCTACCCTTCCACATAATCTAGTTCAAAGAAGGTAAACTGGGTTCAGAAACTGGATTATATGGCAGTCTAGACGGGGCTGTAGACAAGGTTGAGATGTGGAGGATGTTGACCTGGAGCAATGCAAATGGAATTATTCTGATCAGTCACAAAAAGAACACAGCAGTATAGCCAAGCAATTTCCTGTCAAAAGGTAAGTTGTTCTACACTGTAGAACTAAAGTGGTTTGGCACCACTTAACCTGCCCTGGGCCAAAGCCTCCAGACTAGTGCTGGGGCTTCAGCTCGCACAATCCTGGTTCGTGGATTCATGGGAATGATAATAATAATAATAATAATAATAATAATAGTAATAATTACAATAACTTTATTTTTATATCCCTCCACCATCTCTCTGAGTGGACTGGGGGAAGTTTACATGGGGACCAGGCCCGGTCCACAAAATTTAAAAAGCACAATAAAATACATTGCATTACAATAAATTGAAACAAAAACCATAGAAGACATCATAAATACATAAACCGTCAACAACCAGTAGCCGATCACAATAGGTGTGTTCAGAGCTAAGAGGGCAGAGCAAGGGCTTGTGTAATACAACCCAAAACAATTGGGAGGAATTGGGCCTGGGAGTCTAGCAAGAGCTTTGGCCCCGCCCTCTGGGCATGTGCTATGTCCCTATCCCCGCCCCCTATGTCCCTATCCCCAGCCCCTGAGCCTTATTGATTTCCCTATCCCCGCCCCCCTGGGTCCAGAGCCCACCCCCAAAGCTTCAGTTCCCGCCCCTGCTGATAGGCCCCGCCCGTGAGCCATATTTCCCTGTCCCCGCCCCCATTTCCTCATCCCCGCCCCTTGATCCCTATTTATTTCCTTATCCCGGCCCCTGTGCAGAGGCCCCTCCTCTATGTTAATATCCCCGCCCCCGAGCTCAGGCCACGCCCTCTCTCTGGGCCTTCGCGTTCTCTGCGTGCCCAAGCAGGCAGCTCCGCCTGGCCTCGAAGCCTAACCCCGGCGCCCAGGCCAGATTTCTCTCCCTATCTCCGCCCACCTGGGCCCAGGCCCCGCCCCCGAGCCCTGCGCACAAGCCCCGCTCCCCAGGTACCTGCGAGCGCCGTCGGCGGGCAGCATCCAGGTTTCCTCGCCTCGCCGCCAACTGACCCGCCACGGAACCCAAAGGCCGTCCCTCTCCAAAAAACCTCGCGAGAGGTCTTGCGAAAGCTCCTGCACCCGTACCGCAGACCGCCTCTTCTCTTAAAGTTGGCCGGCGCATGTGCAAAACGGCCTGGAGGCCGGAACGGCTTACTGTGGCGACGCCATTTTTGGCTGCCATGGCAACGCCGAATAGAATCCCGGGATTTATAGTTTCAAGGCGGGGCGCTTAGAACGCTCAGTCCGAGAGACAAGGCCTCCCCTGAACTACAACACCCAGAATACCACAGAAGGTTGCTGTGGCAATTAAAGCGGGAAAGGTGGCGCCTCACTCTAGTACGCAAGGAAAAAGAACATATTATTATTATTGTTGTTGTTGTTGTTATTTTTATTATTATTATTGTTATTGTTGTTGTTATTATTTATTCTGCAAGTGAAACAAACGGTAGAAGAAGAGAAACACGCACTTGCAGATTATGTGAAAGGAAGTCAAGAACCAACATTGAGGGAAGTCAAAAGTAGTCAACTGCTTCAAGTGCCAAAGACGAAGAAACACAATCCAGAGCAGAAAAGAAAACTGGCGAAAGAAGGCTCTCCATGGACAGTTCCTGGGAAAAATGGAGAGCCAAATTGACAAAGAAAAAACATGGCTGTGGCTCACAAATGGAACTTTGAAAAAGGAGACAACGGAGGGCCTGATTCTGGCAGCCCAAGAACAAGCCATTAGAACCAATGCCATCAAAGCCAGACTTGAAAAATTGACAACAGATCCCAAATGTAGACTCTGCAAGGAAGCAGATGAAACAATAGCTGCTGCAAGAAGATCACGCAGACAGATTACAAGCAGAGGCACAACACTGTTGCTCAAATGATTCATTGGAACTTGTGCCACAAATACCATCTGCCTGTGACAAAGAACTGGTGGGATCACAAGCCAGAAAAAGTTACAGGGAATGAACACGTCAAATTCCTCTGGAATTTCCGAATTCAGACAGACAGAGTTCTGGAGCACAATACTCCTGTCCTCACAATTGTGTTAAAAAACAAAGTATGGATCGTCGATGTCGCAATCCCAGGTGACAGCAGGATAGAAGAGAAACAACTGGAAAAGCTGGCAGGATATGAGGATTTAAAGATCGAACTGCAAAGACTCTGGCACAAACCAGTCAAGGTGGTCCCAGTGGTGATTGGCACACTGGGTGCAGTTCCTAAAGACCTTGGCCTGCACTTAAACACAATCAGTGCTGACAAGATTACCATCTGCCAGCTGCAAAAGGCCACCTTACTGGGATCTTCATGCATTATTTGCTGGTACATCACACAGTCCTAGACACTTCGGAAGTATCCAATGTGTGATCCAATTCAACAGCCAGCAGAGTGATCTTGTCTGCTGTGGACTCATCTTGTTGTGTTTCAAATAACAACAACAACAACAACGAAGCCTGAAAAGGTTACAGAAAATGAACACATCAAACTACTCTGGGACTTCCAGATTTAGACTGAGTTTTGGAGCACAATACTCCTGACCTCACGATCATGTTAAAAAACCAATTATGGATTGTCGATGTTGCAGTCCTAGGCAACAGCAGGATTGAAGAGAAACACCTGGAAAAGCTGACACAATACGACGATTTACAGATCGAACTGCAAAGGCCAGCAGGGTGATCTTGTTTGCTGTGTCCTAATCTTGTTGTGTTTCAAATAATAATGTTGTGTTTCAAAGCCATTATCAGGACCTCAAAATCGAACTGCAAAGGCTCTGGCATAAACCTGTTCAGGTGGTCCCAGTGGTCATCAGCACACTGGGTGCTATGCCAAAAGATCTCAGCCGGCATTTGGAAACAATAAACATTGACAAAATCACGATCTGTCAACTGCAAAAGGCCACCTGCGCAAATCATCCGAAAATACATCACACAGTCATAGACGCTTGGGAAGTGTTCGACTTGTGATTTTGTGATACAAAATCCAGCATATAGATCTTATTTGCTGTGACATACTATGTTTTTGTGTCAGTAAAATAATAATAATAATAATAATAATAATAGTTATAATGTAATACTAGTAATGTAATATTGATATTACATTACTAGTAATATATATATTACTAGTAATATAATGTTAGGTAAAGATAAAGGTAAAGGTTTCCCCTTGACATGAAGACTAGTCATGTCAAGGTACAGATGCCACGAAGTCAAGCTCAAGTGCAAAGTAACAACGGTTTATTACAGGTACAGCTCAAAAGAATAAAAAATGCTTAACAGCAGCAAAATAGAATTTCAAAACAAAACATAGACCAACCGGTCAAAAAGGAGGCAAAACAGAGAGTCCTGGAATCCTAAAAATCCCAACCCACTAACAAAAATACATGGCAAAGGAAAAGGGCACTCGCTATTGCTTCAGCGAGCACGTTCCAGAGTGTAGCAAAGACGTAGTCAAGCCGGTCCAGGAGTCATCCACAGTAAATAGGATACAGCAGCAGCAGCATTAAACGTCCAATTCAAGGTCAGGGCAAAAGAGCAAAAACAATGTCCAGAAAAGGTCCAAGGTCCAAGCCAAACAGTAGTAAAGTCCCAAAAGGATCCACGAAGTTCAGGAATCACTACCCAGCATACACTTTGCCAGTCACAAACTCCCCATTGTAACCAACCCTCCTTATATTACAAACTTTCCTTTGAGCTGCAATGAGACAATGCCCCACCCTCAGCTGCTCCTGCATTCTCCAAACTAGAATCAGACAGCACCCCACGCTTAGCTGCCAGTTGTGCTGCCCGAGCTGGTCTTTGCCTTGCCTGCCAAGAGGTCCTTCTCCTGCTTCTACTTACATCTCCCCAAACAGTAGACAAATCATCCTCCCTCCAAGTTTCATCCCCAGCAAACCCTCTGAATGTGTCACTACTTGTAGGCTCCTCACACACTTCTCTCACTTCTGCTGCTTTTGTCCAACCCATCTCATCCCCAACCCCATCAGTGTCACTCCCAGCACTTCTCATAAAATCTGCTTCATTGCCAAACCCATCATCCCTATCAAACCCTTCAAAAGACTCTTCATCAGTGGGTTCAGTAAGTATTTGCCGAATTCTCTTCTGCCATTGCTCTTCAACAGATTCTTGCTCCCGAGTAGACCTTTCTGCCTGCCTAGTCTCCAACTCCCTGTTGTTACTACTACTCAGAGACTCATCCACAAGTCATGTCCGACTCTGGGATGTCGTGCTCATCTCCATTTCTAAGACAAAGAGCCAGCGTTGTTTGTAGATGCCTCCAAGGTCATGTGGCTGGCATGACTGCATGAAGCATTGTTACATTCCCGCTAGCATAGTACCTATTCATCTAATCACATTTGCATGTTTTCGAACTGCTAGGTTGACAGATGCTGGACCTAACAGCGGGAGCTAACCCCGCTCCCTGGATTCAAACTGCCAACCTTATGATTGGCACGTTCAGCAGTTCAGTGGTTCAACCTGCTGCGCCACCAGGGGGCCCAATGGTAATGTTACAATAATAATATGATTATATATACAATAGATAAAGCATATGATACCAATAATATAAAATTGATAATATTGTATTATATGTACTATTAATATAATATATGATATATGAGATTATATATCATGTATATCGGAGCCTCCGGTGACACAGTGGGTTAAACTCCTGAGCTGCTGAACTAGCTGACCAAAAGATCGGCATCTGAAATCTGGGTAGCTGGGTGAGTTCCTGCTGCTAGGCCCAGCTTCTTTACAATAATGTATAGAATACTGGTAATACAATATTGATATTACATATTATATATATATATATATATATATATATATATATATATATATATATATATATATAAACTTTATTTGTACCCTGCTACCATCTCCCCAAGGGACTCAGTGTTGCTTGCATGAGGCTGAGCCGACAATACAACAGTAAAAACAATAACAGTAATACAAAACAATAAATAAAACTCATAAGCAGAAAATAAGCAATAAACATTAACAATAACACAACGATATATAGTATTGATGTTACAATAATATAATTACAATACATAAAATAAATAATGTGTAAGGTACTAGTAATATAATATTGATATTACAGTAATATATACAGTGTGTGTATACACACACAGTACAGTCTTGCTTATCCAACGTAAATGGGCTGGCAGAATGTTGGGTAAGTGAAAATGTTGGATAATAAGGAGGGATTACGTTATAATTTTACAAATTACGTTATGATTTTACAAATTAAGCATCAAAACATCATGTTTTACAACAAATCAACAGAAAAAGCAGTTCAATGCACAGCAACGTTATGTAGTAACTACTGTATTTACTATTTTAGCACAAAAACGTCGCAATGTGAAACAGTTATTTATTATATTTATTTATTTAAAACTTTTATATCCCGATCTTCTCAACCTCTGTAGAGGTACTCAGACCGGCTTACAGCAAGGATTCAATGCTAATAGTACAATCTAAAAACATCATATAATAACGAGTTAAAATACATATCGATTAAAATTACAAATAAGCCAAATTGCCAAGATAAAATCATGTCCAACTCAGTCCGTATGTGTGGTCGATAACTTTATTCTCTAGCTGGTTTCAACCATTACTCTGGGAATGCTTTCTTTCATAGCCAGGATTTCACCAGCCTCCTGAAGGACAGGAGGGAGGGGGCAGATCTGATCTCAATCGGGAGAGAGTTCCATAGCCGAGGGGCCACCACAGAAAAGGCCCTGTCTCTCCCCGCCAGACGCGATTGTGAAAGTGGCGGGACCGAGATCAGGGCCCCACCAGAAGATCTTAATTGTCTTGATGGTTCATAGGGGAGAATACATTCGGACAGGTAAACTGGGCCGGAACCGTATAGGGTTTTGTAGGTTAAAACCAGCACTTTGAATTGTGCTCGGAAGCTAATTGGCAGCCAGTGGAGCTGGCGCAACAAAGGAGTTGTGCGCTCCCTGTTGTGGATCTGGGCGGGAGGCAGACTGTGTTGGATAATACAGAACGTTGGATGAGCGAAGGTTGGATAATCGAGACTCTACTGTATATATACTATTAATGTTATAATAATAATACAATTATTATATATACATTTATTATGTATAAGATTACTATAATAATAGTAATACAATATTGATAAAGAGCTCCCGGTGGCGCAGTGGGTTAAAGCGCTGAGCTG